ACTCCTTGGAAGGAAGACTGGGCAATCTACTTCCTTAGAGATACCACCTCGGAAACCCAAGGAGGGGTCGCTATGAGTCAGAACCCACTCCACAGCAGTGAGTTTGGTTTTTGCGCCTTGAGCAAAGTCTCTGTCAGTGGCTGTCTCCTCCACCATCCTAGCTTCCAACAAATGACCCTATTTCCCGGGTTCCCATAACCCCAGCTCCTCCCTCTGTTCCGCTAGTCCTGGTGTGGAAGCGGCTTCTTGCCTCCGTTCACTTCTGAGTTGCCTCTCCAACTCTTCCTCCACTTCTCAGCTCTTCTATCACTTAGAATTTAATAAAAACTTAATACAATTTACTATAAATTCCCTGTATTACATTCCCTATGTGTTAAATATTTAGTGGCATCTTACTTCTTGATAAACCTCCAAAAAAACAAAACCCACCACCATTGAGTCAATTCCAACTCATCGGGACCCTGGTTGAGCTTGTGAGGCAGAAAATCGTTCCAGAAGTAGATTTCCCAGTCTTCTTTCCACAGAGTGGCTGCTAGGTTTGAACCACCAACCTTCTGGTTAGCAGTCAAATGCTTTAGGCACTGCATCACCAGAGCTCCTTATTTCTTGATAGACCCCATCCAATAGAGAAGGAATTCTAAGTCCTTTAGGGTCCTGCTTACTGGATGGAGAATTTTCTCTCTTGTTTCAAATTGCTCAATAAATCAAATCTCTGGTGGGATAATAGCTCCTAGATGCTATGTCTGTAATTTGATATAGGTTGTTATTATTATCAAAATTGTTATTATTAATGTATTTAAATTAAACAATAATATACTGTATCATTAAGGAGCTCTGATAGTATAGTGGTTAAGGCATTTGGCTGCTTACCAAATGGTCAGTGTTTCAAACCTACCAGTTGCTTTGAGGAAAAAAGATGAGGCATTCTGCTTTCATAAAAATTTACAGACTTGGAAACTTAATGAGGGTTGTTAGGAGTCACCGTCAACTTGATGGCAGTGAGTCTGGTTTGGTTTTCGTTGTTGTTGTTGTTATGTGCTGTTGAGTTGGACCTGACTCATAGAGACCCCTCCTTGGGTTTCTGAGGAATTATCATTACCAAAGTAGATTGCCCAACCTTCCTTCCGAGGAGTGGCTGGTGGGTTTGAACCTCCAGCCTTCTGGTTAACCGTCAAGTGCCTTAGGCACTAAGATACCTGTGTCATAATTATTAGTATCAGGGCTAAATCTGGGCACTGAGATAGCTAGAAATAACTCTCTTTAGGGATCTCTGGGGATGGGTACTCTATACATTCTCTTGGTAGTCTGTTCAAAGTTTAACTGCTATTATTGTCAGTAATTTCAAGTAAAATGTTCAAATCCAAGTTCAAATACTTATTGAACTTCTGCTAAGCCTTCTGGGAGTCCACAGTTCAAGGCCAAATTTCCTACTTTTACTCATTGAACTGATTCAGTCAGCTGACCCTCGTGGTTATACTTCCTGTCCGTGAGGACCTCCAGCATTCACACCTGTTTCCCTCTCCTGGTATTTCTAGGTCACTAACATATCCGCCACATTGAGTTTCAACACCAGCAAGATCACTGGGTTCCTGAGACCAGGGAAGTAAGTCAGCCTCCTGCCCACCTGGGGTCAGTCAACTGACTCCATGACTGTGGCTGATTCTCCACCATTGGGGGTGGAGGTGTGGGGAGAGCCTCCCACCAGTGTTGCCGTCCCACCATTTGGGAAGGAAACTTAAATTTCATCCCAGCTGCTCCAATCCTTTTGCCCCATTGGTTCTGCCCACAAAGACTTTCTTTCTACCCATCACCCATGACTTCCAAATTTCTGAAGAATTTATTAATACTATGTTTTCTTGATCTATAAATTCGAGACATCAGCTATTGACTTCCTAAAACAATAGATGAAGACTGAGCTTTTACACCACTTCCTCCCCCCTCTGCCAGTCTTCCCAATATGGTTGCATCACTGTTTTTAGCTACTCAGTCATCCTATTTTTTCATCCTCAGCCCCACAACTATCCTTAGCCCTATGCTTTGTCAAACCAGTACCTCCTCCTTTCTGGGGACCCTGAATTGCTTAAGCTTTCCATGAGGATAATGCCTACATCTCTGAATCTTCCCTGATTCATTACAGGCTACAACTGGAACTGAAGGAATCCAAAGTGGGAATATTCAATGTAAGTGGTTATTGTTTTTATTTATGAAATGCCTAGGTGTTAATTAATGTAGGGTCTTTACTAAGCTATTACTATGGAACCCTATAGTAGAAAATGGAAAAGGAAAAGAGCTGATGTAGGAACTGGTCTGCAGTTTGCTTTTTTCGAGTCTTCTGCCGTGTAACACATACAGAACCACCCTATCCCCAGGGTGCCCATGTGAGCTTTGGGATGGGCAAGATGGCACACTTGGTCACAGTATACTTTCCTGTTCTCCACCAGGTGGAGCTGCTGGAGGCACTGATTAACTACCACATTCTCAACAACCTCTACCCCAAGGTCAACGGTAAGAATTGCTACTGATTTTTCCAACTCGAGGGGGGACTTTGCTCTTTGGAAGAAAGAGTTGGACTTGAAATTGGGAAACAGGATCTGCGGACTGTGGGAACTTCAGCAAGTCACCTCTCTCTCAAGTTTCAGTGGCTTTGTCTGTGAGACGGGAGCATTGAAGTTGACCTCATTTCACCTTGGGCTCTAATGAGGGTTGGGGATGGCTCTTTGGAGGATAGGATACCTCCGCATGCAGGAGAAGGTGGACTCAGAGTTGGCCCCATACACACCCAGAAGAGACAAGTGAATGGTTGAGGGACAAATCAACGCAAAGGTCCTAAGGCAGCCTACCTCTGAATTCACATTTCTCAGTCCAACCCCCTTGTCCAAAAATAAAACATAAAGCGTATTGTACTGAACCCTGTTTCCAAGAGACTCCACTTCATTTAGATTCATAGAAAATAGGATGGAGATGGGGAGCAGAGAAGGCATGCTCACCAGCCCCTGACCACTTGTGTACGTCATCCCATGCCTTCTCCAAAACCCAAACCAAACTCACTGCTATCAAGTCGGATCCGACTCATAGTGACCCCTCCTTGGGTTTCCAAGGAGGTATCACTAAGGAAGGAGATTGCCCAATCTTCCTTCTGAGGAGTGGCTGTTAGGTTTGAACTGCCAGCTTTCTGGTTAGCATTCAAATGTCTTAGGCACTACACCACCACACCCACTACTTCCTCCATATAGATTGTGGCTGAGAGCTCAGGCTCCATGTCAGCCTGCCTAAGTTCAAATCCCAGCTCTGCTAAGCTACTTTCTAGCTGTGTGGCTTAGGACAAGTTACCTGGCCACTCTATGCTTCAGTTTCCTTATCTATAAAATGAGAGAAGTAATCATACTTACTTCATAGCTTTTTGGAAATGGGGATACTCAGCTGCCGCAGAGAGTGAACTCTATAAACATTGTCTATATTTGGTGCTTATTAATAAATCTCTCTCGACTTCCAGAGAAGCTGGCCAAAGGCTTCCCCCTCCCTCTGCTAAAGCGAACTCAGCTGTATGACCTTGTTCTCCAGATCCACAAGGTCAGTGGGTTGGAGGGGGCAGGGTGGGTTCTGAGGATCTGAGTAGGGGTTAACCTGCCAGGGTTGAAAGCTGTGACTCAGTGGGTGGGACCTAGCCCAACACTGCAGCTCAGGAAGCCTGGGCTGGGACAGGAATGGTCCCAGGCACTGCTGTGTGCCACGAAGCCATTTAATATCCTTCAAGAATGGTACCGCTGTTGAGCCAGGAGGTATTTGACACAGCCTTCTGCCACCACTGCCTCCCACCCCAACCGTGGGTGACCTGGGGGCCCTCCATGACCAACTTATTTTTAAAATCTTGCAAGTCCTAGACTTGCCAGTCAGGTTCTAAAAGCCGTTTGTAAGTTTTAATTTTTTCTTTTAAACTTTAAGTGTTGGAGCTTTGTTATAAGTATGTTTGGTGCACCCCTCCCATTCTAAACAAGTAATGTAGCCACATCACTGACATTTTAAAAAATTATTCATATACTCATTGCCCCACCACTACCATAGTTTAAATGTTGGTGTGCTGCCTTCCAGTCTTTCTTTTCTTTCTTTATTTGCCCAGCATTTTAAAAAGAATTGTGTTGGTCGGTTGGTTTGGATAGTTGCTCATATCTGTTTTCTTTCTTTCCTTTCTTTTTGTTTTTTAAACTTAACATCGTCCCTCAGGGTCATGCCCTTGTTACAATTTAGTCTCCTTTCCCACAGTGCTAAGCAGCTGTGCACAGTCCCATCCAGCAAATGAACCATAATTCATGTAACTATTTCAATACCAAGGACTGTGTCTGAGTTTTCACTGTTTTATGGTCCATCTGTGCCCCTAGGATCAGGTTAACCTGCTAGAACAGTATCTAAAGGGCAGGGGAGAGGATGAGAACACTGAATCTTTGACCGAGTATTATCTGGACAACAGATGCCAAAACCTTTTGGGGCCCAGAGATGCTCAATACCTGTCTTAGTTTCCTAGGGCTGTTGTCACAAAGTACCAGGAACTAAGTGGCTTAAAAGATATTGATTGTCTCACAGCTCTGGAGGCTAGAAGTTTGAAATCAGGAGGTTGGCAGTGTTGATTCCTTCTGGGGGTTTGGAGAGATAATCTGTTCCAGGCCTTTCTTCTAGCTTCTGGTGACAGCTGACAACCCTTGATGTTCTCTGCTTCTGTCTTCACATGGCTCTCTTCCCTCTCTATATCCCTGTGTCTCTTCTCCTCTGTTATATGGACTCCACTCATGTTGAATTAGGACCCACCCTTCTTCAGTATAACCAAATGTTAACTGATAACATCTTCAATGACCCTATTTCCAAACAAGTTCCCATTCACAGCTTCCAAGGGTTAGGACTTCAACCTATCTTCTGGGGAGACAATTCAATCCATGATGATACCTAACCACTACTAAATGTTACAAGTAGAGTCAGACAGACCAGAGATCAAAGCAGAAGTTGAATGAGAATCCATTCAGTTGACCTCTATTTTCTCCTCTGTGAAAACGGGTTGCTGCCCAAACCTCCCTGGGCTCTTGTGAAGAGCAGAAGCCATGTACGAGAGCTTCTACCACAAAGACTGGCACATGGGAAGTACCTAGAAGATTCATTCTATATTATTATACATTATCACATTCATTAGAATTTTGAGGTCAGCTTTGTCCACTTGGCTGACTGCCAAAGGCAGAGAGCATAGATCACTGAGGGAAAGAATTGAACTTAGCCTGAGTTCAGAACTCCAGTCCTCTGGGTGATGGAAACTTAACACGAGGCAGGAGCAATAAACCCCAGAAGCATAAACCCCAGAAGCTCACAATTTGGTGTTATTCACTAAGGAGAGAAAATTTAGGTGACACAAGGACATTTATGAGGCCTGCCAGGAAGCAGCAGCTTGAGAAATGACAGATAAATTGCTACCTTGGCGTAGGTGGCTGGCAAAAGCCGTGCTTTATGGAGACCTTGGGGACTGAGGCACACTTGCAATTTATGCACTGATCTGGTTTCTGGCAGAGCTTGCATTTCCCAAGCATGGGCCTCCTTTTTAAGCTTGCGATGCACCTTTTTGGAGTAGAAGATGCTCTCTGCCATCCTGTCCTGTCTTGTCTCTCTTAGGACTTCCTGTTCTTGGGCGCCAATGTCCAATACACAAGGGATTGAGCACAAGAAAAAAGACTTGCCAATGGGGCGTGGAGACCACAGCTGGATCTGGGATGTTGCATTTCCAGATACGTGTGCAGTACATCTCCAGAGACTCTGATGATGAAGACTCATCTGTTCTCAGCCCTGGGGGTGAGAGTCTGCCTGGCTTCTACCCCCATGACCCTGCTCTCATGACAGGGGCACCCATGCCCTCTCTAGACTCTGGACTTTCTCCACAGGAATGGATGATCCTCCCCCACTGGCCTGTAATCTCCTAGAGGGAAGACACTGCATTTTTATTCACTGTCTAAACCCACTGCCTGATCCCAGGGCCTAATGGAGTGCTGGACCTTAGTAGGTTCTCAATAAATATTTATTGAGTGATCAATGCAGGAACCACCTGGAACTCTGGATGAACTTCTTTACTGCTGTTATGGTTTGAATTGTGTCCCTCAAAAATATGTGATGGAAATCTCAACCCCCATCCTCGTGGACTGCTAACCAGAAGGCTGGCGGTTCAAACCCACCAGCCACTCCTCGGAAGGAAGGTTGGGCAACCTACTTCCGTAGTGATACTGCCTCGGAAACCCAAGGAGGGGTCATTTTGAGTCGGTCTGACCCCATGGCACATAACAACAACAAACAACAATACTTGTGGATGTAATCCATTTGGGAACAGGTTTTGTTTGTTAACAGGGCCCTATCAGTGTAGGATGTGTCTTAAATCAATCACTTTAAGATATAAGATATGCAGATTAGGCACAAAAGCAAGAAAATATAGATGGGGAAAGAATGATGCCACATGGAGATCAGCAAGGACCTAAAGGAGAGAAGCCGAAAGAGACAAAGATTTTCCCCCAACAGAGACAGCCATCATCCCCTAGAGCCACTGCCCTGAATTGAGACTTCTAGCCTTCTGAACTATGAGAAAATAAATGTCTGTTTTTAAATCCACCCTCTTGTGATATTTCTGTTAAAGTAGCACTGGATACGAAGACTAATAGATAAATTCTTCACTCTCTACCCAGCCTGTATTTACTCAGCTTCTGTTCTCTTTGTGCCCAGTTCCCACCTTTACCTTGTCCCCACCCCCTGCACCCAACTTCTGCCCCTTCCCCTTTGTTTCAGTTCCTGCTCCTCTCTTGCCCACCCCCCCCTTGCATTTAGTTTCCTCCTCTGCACTCAGGATTGGCTCTTTTGAAACGGGCAATCTACCTCTTACATTAAAACACTACTTAAGCACCCTATGGAGACAGGATCGCAGCTGATGCTGCTTTAAGCCTCAGCCCATCCGCTGGACAGATGACACAATAAAACTTTTTTTTTTTTTTTTTTTCTAACAATCCACTCTGGTTCCTCTCGGCATCGGCTACCTAACAAAGACAACTTCCTACCCTCTTCTGGCCAAAGTGGGTTTGGGGATGGTCAGTCCCATCAGTGGTTTCCAAGTCTAGGTCCTGACCACACTTCCCTTTCTTGTCAGCCACTGTGGCAGGATTTCAGTGAGATGATAACGGCTTCCACCCTGGACATGGTACTGATGCTTCCATCTCTCAGGCCCTTGTCTTCCCTCAGTTCATAGGTTCACTTCAGGTTAACTATACTTTCTCCCTTGCTTCTCTCCTACTGAAAACTTTGGAGCCAATGGATCTCCAAGGCCAAAACTCAGCTTCCTGCTGCTTCCCCCATTGACTGTTGTTGTTAGGTGACATGGAGTCAGTTCTGACTCATAGCGACCCTATGTAAAATAGAACAGAACACTGCCCAGTCTTGCACCAACTTCATGATCATCTCTACACGTGAGCCCATCTTTGCAGGCACTGTGCCAATCTGTCTCATTGAGGGTCTTCTCCTTTCGCTCTGACCCTCTCTACTTTACCAAGCATGATGTCCTTCTCCAAGTACTGGTCCCTTCTAACAACATGACCAAATTACGTGAGACAAAGTCTGGCCATTCTCGCTTCTAAGGAACATTCCAGCTATACTTTTTCTAAAACAGATTTGTTTGTTCTTCTGGCAGTCCATGGAATTTTCAATATCCTTTGCCAACACCACAATTCAAATATATCAATTCTTCTTCAGTCTTTCTTATTCACTATTCAGCTTTCATATGCAAATGAGACTACTGAAGATACCATAGTGTGGATCAGTCACACCTTAGTCTTCAAGGTAATACTTTGTTTTTTAACACCTTTAAAGAAGACTTTTGCAGTGGATTTGCCTAATGCAATATGGCATCTGATTTCTTGACTGCTGCATCCATGGGCGATAATTGTGGGTCCAAGTAAAATAAAATCCCTGACAAATTCAATCTTTTCTTCATTTATCACGATGTTGCCTTATTGGTACAGTCGTGAGAATTTGTGTTTTCTTTTCTTTTTTTTTTTTTTGAGATGTAATTTGTACCAAAATATGGATTTTTTGATCTTCATCAGTAAGTGCTTCACTTTCAGCAACAAGGTGTGTCATCTGCATATCACAGGTTGTTAATGAGTCTTCCTCCAATCCTGATGCCACATTCTTCTTCATATATTCCACCTTCTCAGATTATTTGCTTAGGATACAGATAGAATAAGTGTGGTGAAGGGACAAACTCTGATGCACACCTTTCCTGATTTTAAACCATGCAGTATTCCCTTATTCTGTTCCAAAAACAGCCTCTTTGTTTATGTATAGGTTCCTCATGAGCAAAATTAAGTGTTCTGGAATTCCCATTCTTCACAATGTTATCCATAATTTGTTATAATCCACAAAGCTGAA